CCAGACCTAACTGCAAAAGAGTCTGGGACTCACAGTCCAACTCTTGTTTTAAAGAACAGCCAGTAGTCTCTCCTACATTCACTTTATGAGAGGAATACTTTTAATAAAATAATTTGTTTTTACATAAAATGATGCTATATTTGTACCATTTTTTCTGTTTAAATTTTTCTGATATGAAAATCTTCTCCCCAGCCCCCGCCCCCCAAATTTTAATTGGGCCTACGTCACCGTCATCGCTTCTTTTTCAAAAACATATGAGAAGAGACTGCCTGTTTTCTCAGAAGCTCATCGTAAGGCTAAGAATAGTAAATATAGAAAATGATCGTGTTGGAAAGGGAATTTCGAATAAGATCTATTCTATTTTTAACCATGAATTCGATTAGATCAGTAATATATATTTTCTGCTAACTGCCTTTCCAGCTATAAATGTTAAGCCTAACCACATAACTTGACCTTCAAGGTTTTACACACTGTGATGTCAGTCTTTCTGGCCTGTCCTTTCTCCATTCCCCATTACATACAGCTTCACTGGAAAATAGAGCAGCATTGACTATTATGGTACCAGTAAACCCTAGAACAAAATTAAATAATGAGAAGTACCTTTAACTTTTTTTTTCTTTTATGTTAGGTATTAATGAAAACCTAGTTTAATTTTAGGAAGTAAATGAGATTATGTGGTGTGATTCTACACGCAGCGCATGTGCCTTTTTGTCCTGCGAAGTTGACCGGCGCTGTTTGAAAAATAACATCTATGCTGTGGCTTTTGTTTTATTTGATATCGAAGAATTTCTTGCTTTCTACAGTTGAGGCGTGTTCAGGGATGAGGTCGGGTGTGGCTGGTGGAGGATGTGGATCAAAGAGAAAATTTGGAGGGAGTCAGAGAAGAGATTTTCCCCCAAAAAACTAGAGTGAAAAGCAGTCTTGTGTGTCTGGAGCCAAACTCTGTTTTGTATGACTTTTTTTTTATTCTTAGCTTGCCACCAAACTCTCAACTCCCCGACTTCGGCAATAATTACTCCATACCACAACTTCTATATTTGTAAAATAGTGAAAACAATAGTAAATACTTCACAGGACTATAATCGAGACTAAATACCGTAGTTTAAATTAAATGTATGTCACAATACCTGTCACGTAGTACAAATTCCATCAATGTGTAAATGGCTTCTATTAGTACTCAGAGAAAACAAAAGGAGAGTGCCTCCAAATGCCTTTAAAATCACCACAAAGAATTCATATCCTTTCCCAAATCTATACAGAACCTTCTCTAATGAAAGGCCTGAGCTCAAAGAGTACAGTTAGTTATCATTCCTATGGTGATATGAGATGAGAAAAATGTCCCGTGGGAGCCTGCCTTTAAGTCCAGGATCACCAAGGCAGGCAAGATGCACAAGAAAGACAGACCCAAACGAGGTCTCCAAGCTAAGAATTTACATTTAGTTCAACAAAAGAGATAAATGCATTTTTGTGGTTTACTTCTTGAGACCACTGGTATGATGAGTTGGCCCATTACATTTGTTTTTGTTTTTTTTTTAAGAGCCTCAGAAGACATTATCCAGGGAACTTTTCAATCCAATCTATTTGCGATTGCATCTTCGTTTTCAAAGAAACTATTTTGGGAATTGTCGGTTTAGAGTTCCAGCTCTTGGTGTTGTCAAAATTAAGTAGATAGAGATACTGGGCAGGATGTAACTGAATCGGCTAATGGAACTCATGTGTCGAAGAAAAATTACTTGACAAAAAAGAATTGAAAGTTGGGCGGAGGGGGGTGGCGGGAGGGAATGGTCATGTGATGTAGAGCATGCCTTAATACCTCGGAGTCTGTAAAGATTTCATATCGTCTTCTTTTTTGAAAGGAAATTAAATTGTAGTAAGAGGTTATGCTTTCCTAAAATAGTAGCCATCTTCTTGTTTATTTTTAATTAAATTCCATCCAGATAAAGGATCTTCATCTTCTTTTATATGGGCTTGCTGACTGCTGCCGCTTCATGGGCCAGATAAACAAAACACCTTCCAAATTCGATCCATTTGGGATAGCTACTTTGAAAAGCAGTGTTTTAAGAATCAGATAACCCGTAATATCCTTTGGTAAGGAGAGAGAAGTCCCTATTTATTTTGGTAACTGAAATCACCTCTGAAGCCCGAGAGAAAAGTTACCAAACCAGAGGATTTAATCTCACTCTCTGATGCTGGCTCTAACAAAAGAAAGCAGCCACCTGAATGCCATTTTAAGGACTCTGGGGGCTCAGTGCCCTTTCAAATAAGCAAAAAAAAAAAAGCAACAAAACAAAAACCTCTTATATGCACTAGCCCTGCGAAGATGGTCACAATTCTTACATTCGTTCGTTCGTTCATTCATTCATTCACTGTCACTGAGCTCTGATTGTGCACAGGGGACTGTGCTAAGTGTTAGCAACACAGTTCCGGCTGTCGCGTGCTTACGCTCTGACTGCATTAGGCGACTGCTTGATCAAAGGGTACTTTCCAGAGTGTGTCCTATAAAACAAGCTTAGTGTGTGATATTAAACTGCGATCTGTGTATAAAGTAGGGGATGCTAGGAACAAATAAACTTGGGAAATACGACGTTAAATACCTTTGATACGATCTTAATTTCTTCAGTCCTTCCTAGCATCTTTAATATGCCCCCGAACTCCGTCGAGTGACCTAGGCAGAGAAGCGCGGATGCGGCGGGTCTGGGCCAGGCCCACCGCCCAGCACGCCCGGCCTTCTCCATCGGCACTTTCCACTTCTCCCAGTATCTCTGCGCTACTTCGGTTCTACCATTACGTCTATTTTGTCTCTTCATGCGCCGTATTCTTTTAGGCTATACGAGCTCCCATTGCTTGTACTGCTTGGAGACAGTACGAATGGAAGAAGAGGCATGAGTTTGAGACTCAAAACAGCCAATTCAAAGGCGGATTCTAAATCTAATTTTATATGAAGAAGAAAATTTGCAATGCATAAAATCCTTACCTACCCCAGAATCCTATTCTGGAGGGCTGAATCTCTCTGACTTAAAATAAACTGTATCAATTTATCCATAGAAAGAAATGATCTGAATATCCTTCTCAAAACCTTTAGGACTTTTCTGCAATGTTAGATGAATCCTTTTGGACTGAGGAAGTTTGCTGTGATTCATTCTGCTATTTTTTTAAATAAACTTTTAAAAAAACAGCTTAGATTTACAGAAAAGTTAAGACTATCATAGAGAGAGATCTCATATACCCGCCCACCTGGTTCCCCTATTATTAACATCTTACATTATCGATACGGGACATTTGTCACAACTAATGTACCAACATTGATAAATTATTATGAACTGAAGTTTATACTTTATTCAGAGTTCTTTCGTTTTCACCTAATGTCCTTTTTCTGTTCCCAGATTCATCCACGATACCCCATTAAATTAGTCATCATGTTTCTTTAGAGTCTTCTGGGCAGCGACAGTTTCTGTCTGTTCTTGTTTTTGATGTCTCTAACAGTTTTAAAGAGGACTGGTGAAGTATTTTGTAGAATATCCCTCTGTCCGATGTTTTTCTCATGATGGGACTGGGGTAGTCAGGGCTCTTAACTGCTCTGCAAAGTCCTCATAATTCCTACCCGACAAGCTCAAAGCTGTGCCAGACCATAAAGGCTCGTTACCCTTAGGAAAAAGACCAACCATTCCCACTTTTTACTCATCCTTTATCATCCACAGTAGTCGGACAAAGTTCACAGTGGGATGATTTTCAGCAGCGAGAGGATCAGAGATCTGAACCAGGAGACTTGGGGCAAAGACTCCAGAAAGGAAGAAGCTCAGCCGTTGAACTCCAAGCAGAGCCACATGAAGTCACGAATCAGAGTCACTCGCAGTGTTGAAATTTGATTTGTTACCCCCAGAGGTTTCAGAAGAGCCTCGTTCAAATTTAGAAAATTCAGAGTTACGACATTTAGATTGAATTTCACCAAAAAAAAAAAAAAGAAAAGAAAAGAAAGACCTGAGAACTAGTAAGAGCAAAGGTTATCATTTTAATATTTACCCTAATAATCTGTACTCTATTTTGATTGCATCCTCTACTTTTTCGTAATTCTGAACAAAGACAATCGTATTACAAAATCAAGGATCTTTTCAACACATTTTTCCATATGCCCCTAAACTGGAGTTGGAAACGGTTCTTAGAAAGTAGAAATCGCCCACCCACTTCCCATAAAATTGTAATCTACAGTTTAGTTCAGAGCAGTTCAAACGTTGATTTTGCAAATCCCAGGAGTAGCCTACCCATAGCCGACTTTTCTTTCTCCAGTGACTCGCTTTATAATTTGGTAATGTTGCCTTTGAATGAGTCGGTTTGCCAATCGTTAATAAAATGCTGACCACCTGCAAAAGAAATATTAAAGTGTCATGGAAAAACACATCCCAGAAAAGGAAAAAAAGCACAGTAATGAGAACCATGTATTTTTCCTCACCGTGGCATCTTTTTTTTTTTAAGTACAAAACCCCAATAGGGTAAATTCTGGGTTTCCGAGCTTTGGGAATTAATTGTGATGTTGGATTTCATAGACGTAGACGTAGCATGCTTTTTCAAAACAGCCAGAATAATCTAAATCCATTTTGAAATTTTTATTCTTGTAGGTTCATTCTTGTAATTTAGAAATACATCAAGTATTTCTAAACAGAATCCACTTTAAGCAAACACCCTCAGGGAAATCTGGGCTGGTTGTGAAATGTGGATTTTTTAAAATAAAAGTTCAAGTGAGAAGTAAACAGTTTGCTTGGACATTTGACATGGCCAATAAACCAGAAATACCTCCCAGTACGATCTGAAACATTTTACAATTTTGGTGAACGGAGTGTAACCTAAAATTACTAAGGTAATAATTTTAAAAGGCAGGATTAAGCCCAATTTATGAACTATATGGGTCAAGTAATCAATCGAACTACAGAACTGTCTGAGGTAAGTGGAGTGGGTACAGAATGGATCGTTGGCTCTTCAATCTCGTGGCCTATCGTGTGTTTCAGAGTGAAGGTCGGCGACATCCCTGTAAGAAAGTCAGACCAGATGTGAACAAGATGAGGACCCTACCTGACAACAGTGGGGAAAAGCATGGTGTCCGGCGTTTCAGGCAGCCACTTGACGTTCTGAAACAGGTACGTACTTCACAAGGCTGTGTCCTTTAAGCAGTTTTGCTATTAAAAGTGCACGATGCTTATACTACGCTGACATTAACTACATGATGACCTGCGGATAAAACCCGGGCCGGGGCCTTAACCCCAAAGATTCGTATTCATCCTCAAGGCCATCAGGAAGCATCTAGACATCCTAAGTACTAGAAGACAGATGAGTACTATTTGTCACGAGTGTATGCAGGGCGAAAGGGAACTTGAGGAGGAATAACTGGAGGAAGACAGTGGCAGAAAGAGGGCGAGGGGAATGGCAGGTGAGTTAATTTCTTGACAAAAAGGTAGATTTAGAAGGCGACTCAACACGATGTAAATAAAGGAGAAATTTAGAGTGTTATGCGGGTACATTTTATTATTATTCGTCAAGTAATCGCTTATATTTTTGAATACTGCTGTCACCAGCAAAGATTTGATTGTGCCCTTTCAGGATGAAAGAAAGGTTTGTGACATAGTCTTTTCTAAAGTGGTCAGACCACTCTGAGCTTCGAAGGACTCGCTCAGTGAGTTACCACAGCCGGCTCTGCTTGACCTTTTAGGATTACCTATGTGCCATTTTCTCCACAAAAACGACCTACCATTTTGAAGATGTTTTCTGGAAAGTGACAAAGAATAACATTTTAAGATTCCTGAGACTTCATGGCAACTATTCAACTCTGCCATTTGCAAAAACAACCACAGAGCATATGTACGTAGTTGTGTTCCAATAAAACTTTATTTACAAAAACAGACAGCAGAGTGGATTTGACCTACAGGTTAATTAGCCGGCCCCTAATCTAGAGGATCGGAAGCTTTGTGTTTTAGCTTCACATCAGCTTCCTTCCTGAAAGATGGCAAGATTTGCCAAAAGGCAGTAGGACACAGTAGTAAAACACACGCTGAACACAGGGCAGGAGAGACACACCACAGCAGAACAAAGGACATGAAGTCCCACCTATATCACCTGTTCCTTTTGTCCAGAAGAAAAGAAGTGGTGATGAGACATGTAGAAAAAAAAAAATAATAGTTATCAAAACGGTAAAAGCCCAGCCAATTACGTACGAACCTGAACATAAAACAAGAATAATTTTTTTTAAATTAATAATAAAGGAGCAAGAATTGACAGCCAGGATCAACTTACGACACCACCTAAGATGTGCAGATAACTATTTTGCCCATGGAGAAAGCTGAGGAGTGGGGGAGATGGGGGTGCATCCTTCTGTCTGCGAGTCCACAAAGAGAGCAGAAACTTGGTCCCGGCACCCAGACACCTTAGTAACTTACAAATTTTGGTGCAGATATACCAAATATTAGTCATGTTTAGTCATTCACTTATTCAGTCGGTAACAATTTGCTTAGTCATAAAAAACGAAATGTACGAGCTTGCACAGCATCCGTCCCTCCCACAAGAACCCATGAAAGAACATGTATTCATCAGCTCACCAACCAGGAAACCCCCAGATCGCACCTTGAGAAAGAGCAGTCTAAAATTTTCCCATGGCCGTGACTTTGCTCAGAGTTCGTTCTGCTCGATCACTGCTCCCTGCCCCCCGCCCCCGGCTCTCCTCACTCTACGCCTCCAGCACTGCACATCGTACCACTACTGTCGGGGCCCAGGCAAGCTCTGCGTCCTCACAAAGCATTGCTAGACAGTGTCATTTTCTGCTCTTACCAACCGGAAGGAATTTGCAGGCCCCTGTCCCCACCCAAAATACCTACAGGCCTGTGCCTGACCCTTCGTTTCATGGCATTTTTGACGTTCGGCTTTGGGTCATGGTTATGTGTGTCCATGTTTATCTCATAAGCTCCTAGAAGCGAGTGGCTGAACATCATTTAGCTGTGGTACGTCACTGAGCGGTGGTTTGAGCAGAAGCAAATATCAGACACATAAATGAATGTCTTAGTGGGATATACAAAACCGTTACAACATGTGACATCGGCGCGTATGTCATTCTCCATAGAGTAAGATCGAATCCTAATCATTTAACTAGACAACTTTATTCTAATTTATATACTTATTTACCAGGCATATATTAATAATAGTAATTCTTTATACAATTATAGAGTTTATGGAGAAATATTTTAGGTATTATTTAACTGGAATCTTATAATCTTGCAAGGGTGTCAAAAAAGACTAAAGATGAAAATCTGAAACTCAGAGTTTAAATGGCATTACTAAGACGCCATGCTTAGTAAGTGGTGGAAAATAAACTTTAGGAGCTTATGGAAAGTAGAAATAGTCTTTCTCTCTCTTTCTCTCTTCCTCCTTTCCTCCCTCCCTCCCTCCCTCTCTTTCTCATCTCTCCCATTCCCCCTCCTCCCCTCTCCTTAAAGATTTACAAACTTTTAGGTAGAAGACAAATTCTATCTAAGCGAACCTCACCCTAAGAAAATAGACTCTAAAGTATGTTATGTTTTCACTGAAAATAATTAGGATCACTATATGAGGCACTAGATTTATTGGAAGAAATTATATGAAGCAAACTTTTATTTCTGAAAATTTAGGCGTGAAGACAGACTCATGTAGAAGAGTTTCATTCCAGATCATTATTGCTTAATTACTCTTATCATTTAATAAAACTACAAACTTAGCGTTGAGAATTTAGATTGATCACCACATTATTCCAAATGAAAAGTCAAATATACTAGGCTCTGATATGAAACTTTCTGAGATAAATTTCGAATAGTTTCAGGTGATTTAGATTTGGTCAAAAAAGTACAGCCATCCGATACCTGATACTTTCAGTGAGCCCGACCTGGAGAACTGAAGACTACGTCACCTTAGACATCTCTCTGTCAAATCGATTTCTCACAGTCACGGTGAACTGGGTGCATTTTGTGTCCCTGACAGTTTCATATGGACCAGGCCAGGAATGGGACAGTGCAGCGGTTGTCGGAGAATGGCAGAGTTGGAGGAGGACAGTTTCCTTACATGTCCAGGTGACACCCACATACTGACATCATCACTCCCTCCATTCATAGCAACAGAGACCACAGCGAGAGGGTGTGGAGCCCAGGCTGCTGCTCCATCTGATCATGGCCCTACTTCCTGCTGGGCCAGGAAGGACCGCCTCTCCCCTTGGTTTGGGCTGACATTTAGGGAGGAGCATGTTAGAAAGAGAGCTGAGGTGGACAGGTTCAAGTCTTCCTTCCCCAGTGAGTAGTGTGACCTTGGCAAAATGACTTGACTTTGCTGTGTTTGGTTTCTTACATATAAGAGAGGAATAATGATATAGCTAACATATATCGAGGGCTTATTATAGAACAACTATTCTTCTAAGTGCTTAAATTATATTAAGTAATTTAATTCCTACAGTGTGTGTTATCATCATTATCCCATTTTATAGATGAGAAAACTGAGGTACAAACTATTTAAGTGATTTGCTTAAGGTCACAGCTAATAAATGGCAGAGCTAGGATCCAAATAAGCAGTGAGATGCCTAAGTCCTAAGTCTACCTCTGTGTTTTACTGGCTGTAGTTGTAAAGTTAATACAGTTTAATTGTATATTCATCTGTATGATTATTTGTCTAAAGTCTGTCTTCTTTGCTAGACTAAAGTCACCTAACCTTGTTAAATCAAGACAGTTATAATGGCACCTACCTCATTGAGTTGTTTGTAGGATTTGGGGAGGAAATACAGAATACATAATGCCTTTAGCATAGGGCCTGGCCACAGGAAGTGCTGGATTCCAGGTGGCTCATAGAATACGTACTCAGTGATCAGATGCACTTATCTTGTGGTCGCTAGTTTTTGATCATGCTTACAAACACGCCATCTCCTGTCTAACTACGTCATTACGCCTCGACCACCTTATTTATTGCCTATATTCAGGTAGTCCAGAAGAAAAGAAAATTTCTGAGACAATTAAAGAAAGTTCTTACTATTTCAGAAAAATTCCACAGCTCCAGGGGTCCACTCCCATTATGGAAGAATTTTCTCCCCACTGAATAATCACTCTAAAGAACGACTAAAAATTGCTTTTCTAGTTCTATAGTCGTAAGATCCACGCAGTAGAAACTTCACGAGAAGATTTCAGGGCTCAGTTATGGCAAATGAGCTTAATTAACATAGCTGACCACCAAGTCTCACAAGTGAGTGTTTATACTCTTTTTGTGGGGGGGGGGCTGGGGGGTCATAGCTGACCACTAAGTCTCCCAAGTGAGTGTTTATACTCTTTTGGGGGGGGGGCTGGGGGGTGCTGTGGGTAATCTGGACTTGTTTGTAGAGCAGCTGAGACAAAACAGGAAACATGACGATGGCCATACACATACTTCTGTGCTTCTGACCCAACGACCTGGTAGATTTGTCCTAAGAGAGAAATGAGGACGGGGTTCTGGCATCCAGCAGTGTATATACCATTAGTGTTTTATTTATATATATGTGTGTGTGTGTATGTATGTGCGTATATATATATAAGAACCGTACGATTGGTTTTTTGCTTTTGTTGGAGGTTTGCTCAGAGGTGGCCGTCACCGTGTCGCAGTAGAAGCGGCAGCGAAGCGGTCGGGTCAGCAGTTATGAACAAGCATGCTGCGAAGGCCCCTTCGTATTTTATCTCCGTTACCACAGCGACTCAGTCAGGTGGGTTCTTTTAGGTCCTTATTTTATGAATGAAGGTGTAAGTCTCAGGGGAACTGATTATCCAGCCCAAGGTGATGTGGCCAGAAAGGGGTATCACATCGCTTCAGGCTACTGTCTCCCAATCGCATCGTGTTCTAAATAATCATTAGCTTTATGCAAATAAGTATTAAATGTCCTCCCACTCGGTCCTATAGATGCTCTCGATATTCCCTGTCCTATGAGTAAAAGCCTTCTTCATCGATGCTGCCGAAGCTGCTTCTTACATGGGATTTCGTAGCTCTTGCATCCATCGGTTACAGCGTGAAAATTTACCCAAATGAGGTTTCTCCTCCTTCTTAGATGCCAAGTGCAGTCGGACAGACGGGAAACACGGCAAAAAGGAATAGACGTAGAGAGAGAGCAACTATGACTTCGGGGGCCTCCTCTTTTGAAAACGTTAGGTTTTGCGTGTGGGCTTCTGAATTTTATTTGCAGACGCTTTACAGAAGTGAAGCACAGGCCGCCATCCCGCGATGCCAGCCCAACGAGGCTTTCTGGAGCGTGAAAGGCAGTATTCCTACCGGGGTTGCACTGCGGTTTACGAAGGTGAGAGCTGGAGCCCCCTGCAGAGGGTGACGGTGACTCCGGACGTCACTGTTAACATCGCAGGTGTCAGAGAGGGGTGGCTGAAGGCGACGGTCATCAACCGGCCACCGAGCTCTGCGTCAGTCTTTTTTTTCCGTGACCGTGTCTCTTCTGAGCTGCCAACCGGCATTACGACTGCTACGGGGACTCATGGGCTCAGAAAATTTCGAGTTTTATTTTCCATTTTAATTGTGGTTTAAATTTATAGGAAACCCGGAAATGGCCAAATTTTCCATTTAAAATAGCCCGGCAGAGTTTGTGACCCAGAACAGTCTCTAAACACAAAAATCCCAAATTAGTTTTCTCGTGACTTTGGCCCTTAGGCAGGTACTGGCTATAAAAGGCTGTGTGGCCTTGATGGGTCTGCCTGGGAACACACTTTCAAAAAATTTCCAGATCTTCGTCCTGCCATGACGGTCGGAAGATTTTTGGCTTCCCTTCGAAAGCCATAAAACCAGAAAGCAGATCTGAGAAAAACCCACAGCTGCATACATCTGATGACAGTCTTCAACGGATTTCCCAGAGATAGGGAGCTCAGCAAAACCCGTACCCCATGATGTCAACACACACTGAACCTTTCCTCCCTGAGCCAGTGGGTATTCTGCGGAAGATTTAATCCATCTGTCCCTGATCTGCTTACAGTTAACTCATCAAAAATGCCGTTTGCATAAGCGTTGCCAACGTTTCATGGGCTTTTATTTCTTGGTCTTTCAAATGGATGCTGGTGGGAGTCAAGTTTTGCCAGGCAAATACAACTCCCAAGGTCTAAGTTATTTCTGAGACCAAGACTTTGTAAATTTCAAGTAGCTGTTTTAACTATCACTGACAATAGTCTTTATTTTCAGCGGCGGTGTATCTCCCCGTTAAAAGTGTTGGAGAAAAACAGCCTTTCATCACCCCGCAAAGAGTAGGACCAGCTCTTTGCCAGTCTCCCCACTTCTTGTGTTTTCCACCTTAAGGATTTAAAATCTAATAAGGATATTGGACACAGCCCCAAGTGACTACAATACGTGGCATAATCTCACAGTGTATCAAATTTAAATCCATCAGTTTAACATTCAGAGTCTTCCAGACGACTTACCGTCTTCCTCTTCTGCATACAAGTAAGTTTTTCAAACTCATCTTCCAAATTGCAGGTGTCTTTTTTAATTTCACTCCGCCCGGCTTATTATTCTGCCAATAGTTTTACTGTAGCCTTAGGTATAGAGCGACATCTAGGTGAAGACTAGTCTAGCAGAGTTACCAACTGGTAATCGTGTGTGTGTGCGTGTGCGTGTGCGTGCGTGGATGTTTATGTGTTTGCTTACACAGCAAGAAATCTGGCTTTATCAGGGAGAAGATACAGTTGCCAGCATTGGGCCTATTTTATTTCTGAGGGAAAATAAGTCAATGTTTCTTGGGTCGCTAAGGTGGAACACTGCAGATTGTTCACCAAACTCCTCATTATGGATCGCCATATAATTTGCTAAGAGAAAAGGACGAAATGGGCTTTTTAGGGGTGGAAAGACCTAAAGAGAGGGGTAGAAATAGACAGCAGTGTATGTATGCCCAGTGTGAACTTTGTGTCTCATTCATGATCCTGGCATGTGTGAAAATATATGTGTGATTTCTATACCTGAGCATCAAGACCATGTATGCAAATCTTTGGACTATCGCATCCAGCGACACTTGCGTAAGAGCCCCCATGCCTATTTTGGGGTTGCCTTAGGGTGCTCTTTGTAACCCAAGCTGAAGCCAAGGGGTAGTAGACACCCTTGTATGTACTTAATATGAACTCTCGAGCCCATTCAATAAATACGGGTTCAGTGGTATTCAACTAACTGCGTACAGTTTAATGGGAAATTCACTTATACATGAAGTGTAAGCCCCGCCCTCAAGAAGCTCATGGCCGTCTTGTACGTTGGAACAGAAAACCCTGGAACTAGAAAGTACTGGAAAACTCCAAGAGTCTCATTGTTTAAATGAGAAAATACGTTGCAGAGGTGATGTGACCAGCTTAAGTCAAAGTTCCGTCCAGAACTCGGGGTTTCTGACTCAACTTCGTGTTTTTCCAGTGTGTGATGCTTTGAGAACTTACATTGTTGTGTTCATTTTTCCCCCTCCCTAGCTAGATTGTGGGTTTCTTGAAGGCTGGGAGTAATGTCACCCATCTCTTTCACATTCACCCAAGTATGTTATGAATAACCAGACAGATTAAGTATTCACTAAATACTTGTGGGATGAACAAGTATGTAAATTAATGAATGACTAGGTGATAGTAACATAAACTGCTAAATGGGTGAGAAAACCTAGAAAACCCACATTCCTTCCTGTTTGGTGCCTCTATAGTGACTGTCCTTTGGTCTGTGGTCTAGCAATCGTTTGTGTGAAAAAGGTCTGGAGGCTTAGTTGACTCAAACGATAATGTAAACTTAGGTCTCATTCAAAGATACGTAGTGTCCAAGCAGGGGAGGTCGTAACTTTAAACGCTAAACGCTTCTAACGGTCCATGTCTAGGTATCAGTTTTTAAGTAGCATTTTGACAATAGTTAATTTTATCCACTTGTCTTTAAGGGAGCCTTAAAGACGCTAAAGGTGTCTTATTCAATTTAATCTTCTTTGCCAACAAAATTCCTTCCCCAAAATGACATTGGGATTGAGACACACCTAAAGGAGAGAGACTAGAATGGTGAATGGTCCCGACCCGTGTCACCTAAAGGACGGTTAGTGGCACTAGGAAAAGGGGGTGCTGTAAATATCCGCAGGGCTGTCACGTGGAAGGCGGTTTGGGTTTACATGCTGGCAAGGACTGGATGCTGGCTGCAGATGCTGCAAGAATGTGCATTTTGGATCAAAGTAAAGTACATTTTTTTTTTTCAGTTAAAAAGTTCTGTGGAAACAGAGCGAGGACTGGATGCTGGCTGCAGATGCTGCATGAATGTGCATTTTGGATCAAAGTACATTTTTTTTCAGTTAAAAAGTTCTGTGGAAACAGAGCTGCCTCCCGGGGCGTGGGGACATGTCCTGCTGCTGAGGACGTTGGAGGAGGGTCTGAGGTGACATGTCCCACCAGACCTTCCGCCCGGTTCCTTCAGACTTTGAGATTTCACGACGACGTCACGCCTGTGCCACTGCCGCGTTTCGCTCAGCACCTTGCGGGCGTAGTGCACGTCTGTCTCCTCTCCAGCTCTCACGTCTGTCTGTCTGCCAGTTGCCTAGCAATCCGTAACTGTCAACGGAAGCTCAACTTTAGAAAATTATTAGAGCATTTCCTGCCCACTTGCTTGTCCTGGAAAATCCACTTCACTAAACAGTGTGTGTTATGTATCCCCCCCACGCCCGCCCCCACGCCTCAACTTCGTCCGATTTTGAATTAAAATGCAACGTCGCATAGCGCCCAGTAGGATCGCAGGGTTCGAATCCTTGCTCCAGAACTTATCATTAGGGCCGTGTTCTTCCCCTCTCCACCTCTCATTTTCCTGAACTGTAAAATAGAACCGATGACGCCGTCTCAGCGACGCGACGAGGATTAAACACAACGGCGCGCGTACACGCTCAAGCTCGGCGCCCGAGCTCCAGCCGATGCTAACTCGGTGTTAGCAACCGTGTTCTACGGTTAATAAAAGCGACAGATTTCTTTGAGCTGCTTTGATTTAAGAAGACAGTGCCATTTCCTGGGGCTAGCTATACTGTCATTCTGCCCTGATGGGAAGGAAGAAGCACCATTGGCAGCGAGTTGCCCGTTTAGAGGCAGGATGGATATGAGGGCTGGATAGGAGGTGAGCTGAAATGTTACCCCCTGCCAGCTTTTTGAAATGCAAATTCATCCATCTCTTTGATGTCTCTAGCCACTTCCAATGAACATCTTTCGGCATATTATTTGCTTTCTTAACCACATCACTTTTCACTGAGTTCAACATTCCAGTAGGATTCAAAGGATCTTGGTACATTCTTCCAAAATGAATTCAGAAGGTAAGTCAAAGAGAAGGGGAAATATCTTTGAACAGGACACCGGGTTCAGACTAGGGGCGGGAGGAGGGTGTGGGGGCGGGGGAGGGGAGGGGAAGACTGTGTGACTCAAAGAGCTAACAGTAAATTCAGCCCCAGGCTTTCCGTGTGCCAGTGGCCTGATGACTAACTTCAGCCAAGCATCCCACCCTGGTTCCTATGTCTAAGCTAGTGGAGATAGTGGCGCTGCCTGACTCCCAAAGCGGAAGGGGAGGGACCACACAGCGAATCCAGGTCGGTCTCCTCGGGAGAATGAGAATTAAAGGAGCCATCACGTTCAGTCTTCCCTGACTCTTTGCTGTTCCAGGCGGCCCGTGTCAATAATAGCATATTTTTCTCTCTAAAGTTAAGCACTTTCACCTATGCCTTTTCAAATATATAATGAAAACCCAGATGCAAGAGCTCACGCATCGATGGCCCTGTGAAATGCCACTCTCTGATACTGTGCTGGCATCAGTGAGGTTACCTCTCCCTTCATGTGTCCGTCTTTTTACCAGACTGTTGGCGTCTTAAGAACCGTACCTGGCTCTCACTCATCTTGTACCCCCGGCAGGGTGGGGATGTACACGGATATTACGATGGACTCTCCTGCGAGAATCTTCCTGCAGGAAACCGTACTCTCTGCTGGAGGCAGGAGAGCCAAGAACATTAAAGTTGTTTGGCAACGACCTTAGAGTTGAGGTCCACCCTGGACCAGCTTCCGCGTAAGATCTGAAAACCTCGGGATCACGAAGCGAGCCATGCGCGGTCGCAAACGCGCCTGGCTCTTCCGTGGCAGCTGGCGTCTCGGTTTCCAGGCTTTAGCCACGTAAGTATTGGCCTAGGTCCTGGGCTTCCAGAACCGTCTATTTTGTAAGCTCTTGAGCGTCTGATTAAACAGCTTTCTGACGGAATTAGTTCAGCTGGCTTCTGTCGTACATAACCGAACTCCGATTCGGCGCCCAGCAAACGTTCGTGGATCCGGCATCGGTTCCATCTCTAGATCCTCTTCAAGCCAGTTCCTCACACCTGCGCTCCTGAAATCACCTGTTGATTCTGCAACATGATTCATTAACAAGTAAGAAAAATTTCCCAGAAATGCCTCCACTGGAAGTGTAAAATGCAGTAAAAAGGAGGGAAAATTCACTGCAAAATACCACTCAGACAGATTTTTAAAAATCTTCCCACTATCTAGAAAACCCAGAAAGTGGCTTATTCTTGTCACTTAGATCTCATTCAAATGGAGCGCTGCTGCATTTTCTAAATGACCACGAAACGACAGGTGATAAAAGAATCCTCATTCAAGTTTCCCGTTCTGAAATAAGCGATTTGCGTGACGTTGGGGAGCTAGCAGATTTAGGTCAGAGGCTTGACCGCTGAGAACATATGTTGAAGATGCTTTCGATTCTCATGAATCCTGTCAAAGGCCTTCAGAACCCTTGAACTTCCCTGGGTGGACTTAAGACCTGGAGCAGGAAGCATCAGCCTAAGCGCACTGGGGCTTCTTGGCTTCTGCTTGTATGCGTAAGGATGAAGGCGAAGAACTCTGCTCTCAATGCTTCTGCTGCCAGAACAGCAGGTGCCCTCCTTGAGCTAAAGCTTCTCTGTGAAGTTACTGCCCCCTTGTCATTGAAGCTTCCGTTCTGAGGCTTATGCCTCTCCCACTACCGGAAAAATGCCTTCTCCAGCAAGACAGCGTTTTTCAACTTTTTTCATTAAAATCATTGGGGCGACATCAGTTAATGCAATCAAATAGATTTCAGGTGTACAATTCAATAACGTGTCGTATGTATACTGCATTGTGTGTTCACCACCCAAAGTTAAATCTCCTTCCATCACCAAAGATTTGATGCCCCCACCCCCTTTCTACCTACCTGCCCCGCTCCCCTCCCTGTGGTAACCACTGTCTGTGTCTGTGAGTCTCTGCTGATCACGTTTGTTTGTTGCCTTCAGTTTTACATCCCACCTATGAGTGAAATCATGTGGTTCTCAACTTCTTCTGTCTGACTTATTTTGTGTAACCTAATCTCAAGATCCATCCAGGTCGGCACACATGGAAAAAGTATTTCCTCTTATGGCTGAGTCATATTCCGTTGTATATATGCACCACGTCTTCTTTATTTAATCATCTATCGAAGGACACTTTTATTATTTCTATGTCATGGCCACCGTGAATCACGCTGAATGTCAAGGTGCATATACCTTTGCAGATAAATATTTTCCAGTTTTTTGGGTGAATACCCAGAAGAGGAATGGCTGGGTCACATGAGAACTCTATTCTTAGTTTTTCGAGGAACCTCCACACTGTTTTCCATAGCGGCTGTACCAGTTCACATTCCCACCAGCAGGGTGTGAGGGTTCCTTTTCCCCCACAACCTCGCCAACACTTGTTATTCGTGTTTTTCAACTCATAAGCCTGGCTTATCAGCGCTATCCCAGTTTAGCCAAGGATGAATTTGTCTTGCTCAGATGTTTCCTTGGTGATCCACATGTTGACTGATGAGAACTGTGGTCTGAAAGGAGATTGGAGGAGAGCTGGGAAGGATTAGCAATGATGAGGTCCTCAGGGGCGCCTTGCGGTAACTGAGTGTGATGCCCTACTGGAAGAAATAATAAAGCAGAGTGCTGGACCGAAAATAATGGTCCATCTCGTCTGGATCCCGTGACCCCTCATGTCAGGAGAAAGCATCCTTTCTTTCTGTCACTCTTTGTTACAACGGGTACTCAGTGAGCGCCTATTAGCGTCGGGCTGTACTTAGCAGGCGCTGGATAGTCTTGGGTGAACAAAAGATGCCTGGTCATTGTCACCATGGTGAAAACAATCCGTCTGGGTGAAGCAGGGGATATATGTACCACTGCTGTTCTGGGAGAGACTGCCTGCCAGTGACATCTGACTGTCGAGAGACAGCGAGCGAAGGCGGAAGGAGGAAGGAGGAAGGAAGGATGAGCTCTTGTTCCGCTCCCATCCCCCCTCAGCGATTGGTATCAGATTGCTATGGGTCTTCCCAGGAATCACCGGGGGGATGGCTCCTGGAGCTGTGACGTGATCCTCTTTGATGCGGGAAATAAAATTTTCAACGGAAATGTCTTAAACATGAAGAGGGTTTTAAAAGTAAGCTGCAAGTCGATTGCAAGAGTGGCCTCGTGACCCGGTGATGTCAGAGGGACTCAGGAAATTCCCATCATCCCCCTCGCCATTCCCAGTATGTTGGATCTTTCTACTTCAATGGCTTTTGGAGAATTTTCTTCAATAAGGACAGTTTCTTCTCTGAGAGGAAATTAATGGCCGCTGTTAGATAATACAGCATTAAATTATTGACCAGTAAATTTAGCCTTCGTTTAACCTACATCGATTTGATGGGTGTAGTTTACAGTGTTATCTACTTAATGATAATAGTAATCGAAGATTAACGATGCTTCCCGCATTCACTCAAAGCACTGCAAAGTCTGTTCTCACTCAGCTCTGCTCGAATATTGCTGTCCCCACAGTCTGCACCAGAATGAATATTGTGGGGAGAATTACTGCTCCTTTTTTTTCCTCAATTCCACCTATCGCAAGGAGCCCCACCCCCAGATGCACAGACACGCTAGCCCACACACCCCAACGTTAGCCACGGATTCTATAAAGAGTAGCCCTGTGGTCCTATGAGTCTGTTTCCGTTTTGTTTTGTTTGTTGATTTTTTTAATTTTGTTTTAGATTCAACATATAAGTGAAATGATACGGTATATTTCTTTCTCCGTCTGATTTATTTTTTATAGTTTTTCCAGCTTCCATACGTCGATGTGAAAACAAACAAACAAATTCAGGGTTTAGTTCGAGACTGGGAATTCCGCTCCATTCTTTTCTTTATAAATTAGACCATACGGCATTAACCCAAAAGGACGCAAGAAAACTCCAGCAAACGTGGACCTCTACGATCCATCTCTCTTCCTCCCAGGGTCTACGGCATTGGCTAGACATCCAGTGCCATCCTCTGCACTGGCTGGTTTTTTTTTTTTTTATTTTAAGATAAAATTATAATAAAGTCATATTAAGACTTCCAATTTAAAATCAAGACTACAGAGTTTTTGTTTAATCTATATTACATCTATTCTTTTTCTATACTGAAAATATTAGATTCCCAATGAACAAATATTCGAATAATAACAGCAATACTGAAAAGCGTGTGTGTGTGTGTGTGTGTGTGTGTGTGTTTGATATTATTTGTGTCATCAGGGAAAGTTCCACTAATAGTGTTTTAAACACTAATTGTGTTTTAAAAACAACTAAAATAGTTTCTCTCTGTATAGTTAAGCCACAAATCAGTACCTGGTTGGCTTACTTGTTTTGTTTTGGTTTGCTTTGGTTCGTTAGGGATTTTCTTGTTAAGATTTAATTTTGGTGTATAATCGTGAAGAATATTTGATGATTCCAGACTCGACTGTATAAAACAAGGACAGTCAGAGAACTTTAGCTTATACGCTTGTTCCTTTGATCCTGCTTTCCCCCCGCCCCTATCTATATAACCATTTTGTTTGTTTCTTTTTAGTTTGTCCTCAATTTAAAAAAATCGAGCAATTATATATGTGCGTATGCATGCATGTGTGCATGCGTGGGTACTTATACCCTCCCTCCCTTTCTTAGGTAAATGATAGCATCTAATACGCACTTTCTCCGCTTTGTTTCTGTCAGGTGACAGGCTATCCTGGAGATCACTTCACAGCAGGACATGAAGACCTCCTCTATCCCCTTTCAGAGTTCAGATACTCCGCCCTGAGGATGTTTCGTAGTTTGTTCAACCAGACCCTAGTGATGGGCGGCATTCACTTGATTTGAATCTTTGGTTTTTATAAACAAAGTCACAATAGGCGGCCGTGTGCCCTGACTGTGTCTGAAGACGAAGGATCAGCCCAGGATCACTGAGCACCTGGAAACGCCACGAAGAAACGGCTGACGCCAGGTCTGGGAACGGAATGTGCAAAGTGAGCCTGAATCACCTGACAGCACAGAGAAAAGATGCTGATGGAGGCGGCGGGGGCACGTGAGAAGGACACAGAGGCTCTCGCGGGGCAGAGATGGACCGAGTTAAATAAGTATCAGTAATAACTGTGACAGGCTGAAAGACAGCAAGTATATTAAAGCGCCTTAGTTTGTAACGACTGAAGTTTCAAGTAGCAATCGGTCACTTTTGACTAGAGAACCATCGAATGATTGTGAAAATTGACGAAAGAAAAGGCTTTTAAGCCTTTCTCCTGACTCACCTATATCATATACCTCAAGGCAACTAAATAATCGATGAGAAGAATTTTCTCTTTATAGAAGGATTCCAGCTAATACATTTTAAATGAATGAGAGAATTCTAATACTACCATTTTCTACTCCCAAGGAAGCAATGTGTCTAAGTAATGACACCAGTGCTGCTGACATCACAAGAGAGACGAGTGGCCGTTTTGCTCCTTAATAGAGGCTGGTCACCAAGTAAACCAAAACAATCTGATCAAGCCTCTGGGTCCAACTCATAATTCGCAGAAAATACGTGAGACGGAAGAATATGATCGATGACACCACAAATCCAAAAATATGCAACGGAAAAAGAAAGAGTAAGAAGGAAATTGAATCTATAAATTCAAAGAGATTTTCAAAAATTTGTTTTGATCCTGATTTGAAGCTAGTTTTAAAACTTTTAAAAATTATAAGATAGAAAACATTTAATGCAGTTATTTAATGATATTAAGGAACTATCATTATGAGGTAAGATACTGATATGGTGGTAATTTTTTTAAAAATATTGATATTTTAGAGATAAAGAAAATGTTATGGGTGAAATAATACAAGGTCTCGGTAAAGTAATCTGAGGAGGAAATAAAATGAGATCTGTTTGAAATAATTCAGGAATTCAGGTGAGATTGGACGTGGTGGGGGAGAGACGAAGCGAGACTGTCCACGTGCTGACAACCGTTTAAGAAGGTAATCGACACACGGGGGCTTATTATACGCTTCTCTATACTTTGACATATAATAAATAGCCTATAATGAAACTTTTTTGAGAAAGATATTGGATAGCTTAAAAAGTATAATAAGGGGCAGAGAACGAAGGCCAAAGATCTAGCTTCTAGGAACAACAAACAGAAAATGAAGTCTCAGAAATCCGCAGTGAGGCATATCCGGCGGCCGTCACAAAGCGTTGGATTTTCTGCTCTCCCGTCTCTCCTCCCCCCTCGGGAACTCCTGAGGCAAAGTCAGGGGCAGATGCCTCTGCTTATCAGGCCCTTGGGCACAGCGCCACGGGAGTGTGGGCCAGGCGAGCATCTAGTACTTTCCGTGCCAACAGCAAGAAGCGGGTTACTTGCCCCATCCTCATACTGAAGCATCAAGAAGCGAGAAATTCCCAAAATCTAAGAAGGAATTCAGGCGCTGGACAGGAAAAGGAAATGACCAACATTTGCCTCACTAGGCCGGTAACAACCTCCGTGAATGTCATTTTCCTCTTCTGTAAGATGACCCCAGAATGCGGTGAGGACAAAAGAGAGAATGTATCTGGGAGACAGCACTCGAGGTCCCTCAGCAAGCCTTTCTCCCTCCTTCCCTCCCTCCCTGCCTTCCTTCGTCTCTTCCTTCAGTTACTACCTCCATTATTTCCCCAGGATGATATTCCATTAAGGGACACAAACTAAGTCCGTATTTTTGAATTCGAATTCGATTGAACTGAATCCATGTTTTCATTGGGAGAAAAAAAAAAAATGTTCCCTTTTTCCTTAGCTCGCTCCTCGTACACCTGGCTTCACAGGAAAAGAAATTCGCGTTTGGAAGTGCACACCTGCCTCGGCCACAGGTGAGATATAAAAGCGTTTCCACATGTCCCAAATCTCCAACCCTTGATCAGGATGACGGGGAACATTCACTGTCCAGAAAAGCGATGGACGCACTCGTCGATCCACTGAAGTCTGCACTCCCCAGGATGAAAACAGCCCCGCGTTTCCAGCAATTTCCTCCGTCGTCGGCCCTGTGGTCTTGGGTCGACCCAACAATGGTGAGCTGACTGTCACACCTTTTCTTCCTTCTGGCACGGCACACTCACACCACCAACCACAGGGAGCAAGCTCCGTGTCACGAAGGCGTCCGGAGCTGGGTCGGTGACTCCCACGGCCAGTCAGCATCATCATTTTGACAAGGGGCCGAGACATCTGACCTCATGACAAAAGGAAAGTTTCATGATTAATGATGATTTTTATTTGGACATCAAAGATTGACTCACGCCGAAAGTGAGCCATCGATAGTTCAGATATCCTGCATCTCAGTCATTATCCTCCTGCCGTCAGGAATTCGGAGAACTAAACACTGACCAGCTGTGAAAGACATCTGTCCTGTCAGCAGAAAAGCCTACTTAACGGGCTCCTAAAAGGAATTGTTTAAAATAATGCTATGCAATTTTCCCGAGAGAGTCGGTGTTGAAAATGAACAAATGGAAAATTTAACACCTCCGCGAGGTGTTACTTTATTCATAAAGCAAGATTATTCTCTTACTTTTTTCCTCCCGTGGTGCAGGCAGTTTGCAGCCACTTTAAAAACTGTAACTACCTTTTATTTAGTAATTGGACAAATACTTATTGAGGGTTTTCTATGTGTAAGAAACGGTACAGAGCCACAGAATTACAGGATAAAAACATATGGTGGCAGTACTCAAGGATTTTAAATAGTAATAATGCTACTCTTATTAATAACCTCTACCATGTCTATTAATCGTTACCTTTCACAGCGTTTTAACATGCTCTAAGTCATTTTAATAATTCCTATAATTCAATGCGATGACTCTTAATTTTTTCAAAATCAGTTTACCACTCTACTTGATTCCATTCTGTCCTTCGGGAGATCACATATGTAAGACGCTTAGCCCATAAGCTCAGAAAACAGTGAAACAGTCCCTCCCCCACGCACTTCAGACCATCAGTACAGAGTATTCCAAACAGCATTTGTGTGCTCACATCATATGCATTTATTTAGCTAGAAAGACGCCATAACTTAATGAAAAATTCACACGGTGCCCTCCTGTTTTGCCTTGACCTGGGTTCCTAGTTCTTTGATATTTACAGGTACAAAGGGCTCCGACTACAGGCCTGATGAAGTTTGAAAGCCCCAACCATCAAAACCATTCACCCCACTCCCTTATTTCGCGGCCATGTAAGCGGCCCTCTTGAACTGACTTCCACACCTGTTCACGAAAGAAAGAACAAAAAGATGCAAATGCTGTTTTCAAATCCCTCTTCTTCGACAAGGTCTTTTGTTTTGAAATTCTGAAACGGTCCCTGGTCTGTTATCTCACCAGCTGTGGCCTTTTATTTCCTAAAGAGAATAGCTGACATCACACAAGGCAAAGCCATCGAGCTTACGGAGGCCATAAATATCTTCCCTAAATCCTGCATGATAAATTTCCCTCTGATTAGTAAAGCAGATACAGTAACGTGTGGTTGTGTGGGGTGGGGGGGATGGAGAGACGCTTTGATGATGCTAAACTGAGCCTCTGGAGATATTCCACCCATCCTTCCTGAACTTCACTGTCCAACAACTGGAGTCATGAAAACGGTAGACAATGCAATCTGGATTATCCACTCTTATTGCTCTGTTTTGTTTTGATTAACTGGTTTTCAATAACCTAAAACTTACTTATACAGAATCTAAAGCAAGGCGAATTTGCTAAAGGGCCAAACGGGAACATGCCTCTTATATAAATCACGATATGCTTTTTAGACCACAGCCTAAAAAGAAAAGGAAAAAAAAAAACGCTGTGAATGAAAAGTACATGAATTTGAAATGATTTTATTTCTGACTCGTATTCTACTTATTTTTGATTCTTGGGAAGACCTGTCCCTATATTGCGATTTTTCTTAAAATAACAAGTTTCTCTTTGCAACTATTAATTGGTCTTTCCACAAAATGAGGTCGCTGGAAGGACTGAGCAGGGCAAGAATATTCCTGGATCAAATAGAACTGGCGAGCGCGGCCGTCCGTGGACTTGTCAATTGTATCGTCTGATCAAAGGAACTAGATCGTAATGTTTCACTCGGTCTTCCTAATCTATGTGTACTCAAATGAAAATTTTTGAAAACCGACCTATTGTCAGGGAACGAAGGGTGGAAATAAAGAGTATTTTGGTGGTTTGTTTTTACTACTTGAACTTCCATTTGTCGTAGGATACGGGTTAAAATAGCTTTCTGTTTTTTGGTTTTTGTTTTTAAGCGGCAGCCTTTCCTGATCTGCTGAAGAGGAGTGTCGTGTAAATAATAAAATAATCCAAAGGTAACGAAGAGACGCCCGCCCAGATTCTCACTTCTTCTGGCGCCCGCCACACAGACAGCCGAAAAGCACTTAGACAACGGAGAAGAAGCAACCGAGCCTGGACGACAAGTGCAAGACAGTGATGAGAAGCTTTGGAGCCGAAGAAGCTGAGAACGTCTGCTCATTTTGTCTCGCGGTAAGCGATTCATTCCCACACGTACGTAGCCCAAACCCGTCACCTACCCAGCTCCTGTCCCCAGCACACACTTCCTCCCTCCCCATCCCAGCTTAAACAGAACACGACACAGGGAGCTTTGCATTTCGCTAAGACGTTTTAATTTATTCAAGCCCTCACCTCGCTCAGATGAAGTTTGGGGGCCTCGTCCGCTGCTCATCACCGAGACTTTGGTTGCATTGCTGTCTTCATGGTAGGATCTCCACTAATAGCTGGACACTGTGTCCCTTGGCCAAAGGAGCGGAGCTTTATTTATTGATTCAAGTGCCCTAAGGCCCTGTGTGGACTGTTTCGTGTGTATTATTGGCTCTGAAGGCAGGACCACTACTGAAGGCGGAGGGTAATAATATGTAAGACGCTCCTGCCCAGTGCAGCCTCCTCGGAGTAAGTGGAATTCCCCGGCGAATGCCGCCACCCTGCTGATTCAACCATGAGACCGCCTGCCATCAGAGGTTACTGGCTTTCGGCTGTAAGTTACAGGAAACCTTTCAGCCTCTACTCGGTTATTTATAGAGCAGTTTATAGGATTCTTCCACAACTCAAAGAAGGAAAATCAAACAAATGTCACCTCTTATTATCATGGCAAGTAAGTTCCACTCTGAAAATAGAAGCTGGAACCTTAACCTATTAACTAGGAAACCAATCCACTGGCGTATTTATATTTTAGCTACAATTTTACATTAAAAAAAAAAATCCTTTCAAATTTTACTCCCTCTAGAGAATTTCCCCTGATTAAGCTCACCTGTATTTGCATATTTTAACACCTCTTTCCATGGCGTTAGTGCTTCAATAATGGACTACAAGTGAACAGTTTTTTTACTTATAATTCTTCCTTCTGTCCTTCCTTCCTTCCTTCCGTCCTTCCTCCTTCCCTCCCTCCCTCCCTCCCTTCATTTCTCTCTTTCACAAACATTAATATAAAGCTTACATGCCAGGCACTGTTCTAAGAGTTTTAATCCCTATCATAACTCTAGGGGGTAGGAACAATTATCAAAGCCATTTCACAGACGAGAAGACTGATACGTGATATACTGTCATTACTGGTCTATGCACAGCTCTGCTTTATTTCTTCATTGACTCCTTTTTATTCATTTTCTCATTACTTTGTTAGTCATTTAAAAAAAAATAAATAAAAACCACACAACCCAAGAATTAGAGTATAAATAATACATCTACATCCATGATCCTCTCCTGTCCTGTTACTCTGCTGCAGCCTTCTGAAGTACTGAATTTGGTGTTTTTATTCTTTTCTTGCTTGACTGTAAAAATAATTTTAGCACATATGTACATTCGATCAAAAGTTTTATCGCTTAGTTTGGGTAATCTTTGAATGTTTTAAGATGATCATGGTTTGGTCATCTGGGAATTTGCTTTTACTCAGCATAATATTATCACACGTAGCTTGTGGTTCATTCATTTTCACTGGCATAATAGATTCTATCATGTACCACAATTTATCCGTTTCCCTTTTGATGGTCACTTGTAATTTACTCTTGCTATTAGAAACAGTGCTGTTATGAATAATTTTGTAAGTTGCTCATGGTGCACAAATGAAAATTTTCTTTGGCATATACCTAGAAAATCGTTAGGTCATAGAGTATGTGGCTGTTCAATTTTAAAAGTAGCTTTCCAAAGTGGTTAACCAATTTACACCAGTATATATGAGACATTTAGACAGTTTATATACTGTCCAACTTTTGGTATAGTTTAAATTCTTAACTCCTGCAATAAATTGAGCATAAAATGGTTTCTGTTCTAATCTTGATTCACTATGTCATATCTTCCTTTGCTAGTCTATTGCTATAAAGAGGCTGGGCCTATGTCCCTATGTTTTTAGCTGTATATTTTTCTCCTTCTTTGAAATGTCTGTTCCTGAATTTTGACCTTTTTATTTTAATCTTTTTCCTGTTGAGCTGTCTGACATTTCCTCAGTATTTTATAGGAGTCTTTACATATTCTTGATCCTAAACCTTTACCAGTCATATGTGTTGCAAATGATATTCTCTTAGCTAGCAGCTTGCTTTCTTACGCCCTTTAATAATTTTCCTGATGAACACAATGTCTTGATTTTCATAAAGTCGAAATTATAAATCTTTCCCGTGATGGTTTTCACTTTTGGTGCCTGTCTAAGAAATCCTTCCCTACCCCAGAGTCGGAAAGATATCCACCTATATTTTTCTACTGAGTGTTTTAAAGTTTGCTTTTGACATTTAAATCTCGAATCCATCTGGAATTGATTTTTGAGTATGGTGTAAGGGTGGGATCCAAATTCATTTTGTTTCCAAATGGACAACCAATTTTTCCAGCTCCTTTTATTGAATAATCCCTCTTTTCTCTGCCGAAATGCCAGGCCACCTCTGCCCTCGTTAAAGTCCCACATACGCATGGGTCTATTTCTGGGCTCTCTGTTCTCTCCCATGTGTTTACACCTGCAGGGGGGTAAGAGCGCGGGACATATAGAGTCGAAAGATCTGGTCACTTGTCACCAAGGGAGCCTGAACAGGCCTCCTGACTATCCTGTTCAGTTTTCTCATTTGAAAAACACAGATAACAATTCCTACTTCCTAAGGATGATGTGACGATTCAAGAAATATCTGTGGAAGTGTTTCGTAACCCCTACAATTCTATAAAATGCTCTATATTGTTATTATTTTAAATGCCCTATATCGTTATTTGTTTAAAAACATTCTAAAAGTGTTTCGTTTTCCTTTATTTGTTTTTAAGAAATCTTTTGGTGGTTAGTTACAAAAAACCCTGTCTTACACTGGCTTTAAATATAAAATGCAACGGCCCATGTAACTTAAATACTCCGGTGGTAGGGCTAGGCTTAGGTGACACTTGAAACAGTGATTTTTTTAGAGACTCCAAAGAAACATTTTCCCATCTCTCCCCGATTTCTGCAGTGTCGCCTTCATCTCTGAGGCCTCATGGTCATAACGTGGCTGTCAGGGGCTTCCGCATGCTTGTTCACATCCAGCCTGAAGATAGCTTTCCTCCAGGTGGCTTCTAGAAAAAAAAAAAGAGAGAAAAAACTTCTTCCTTAGACACCCCAGGTGAAGTTTTCCGTCTCACGTCTCATGGGCTTCATCTGAGGCAAGTGCTCGTCCACGCACTGGGCGACAGGATGGGATGTGAGGGTGGGCCCCCTTGCTCAACTCACAGAAACCATGTGCAGAGGGTTGACAATCTGGTGACTATTACTGAAAATAAGCAGAGAACGAATAGAGAATGAATACTTGGGCGGGGGTGGGGGAGAGTCATAGCCAGTGGTCATTACATTTTTCAATGTTTTAAACAAAATAACACATGTCTATGGTCACAGATCAAGTGATGAGGAGGAGCTCAGAGTGAAAACAGCAGCTGCCTTTCCCACCAAGCCCCGTCCCACTTCTAGAAAGACATTCTTTGAACTCTGTCTGTGTTGGATTCTCACGTTGATTGCTGTCCCAACTCTAAACAATACTCTAGACGTTCATTTTTTTTAGGCAACCAGCTTTTATATTTGACCACACATTTATACTTCCCCATCCTTATTCCTCACAAATTGCAAAGTTTAATGGTAATGTTATGATTTTAAAATATTTTACTGTTTACCTTTGCGATTTTAAACGATAGATCTGTATTTCTTTTTCCATCCGTTTTAATGAGTATCTCAACCTCCTTCTCTAAAGAACTTAGACCACCTTTTTTTCTCCTCCAGCACATTCCTCCTTTCATTTCTTCTTTCTGTCAGATATATTTTGACTTTTGCATCATCAAGACTGTGAACATCCATGTTCTGCCCTTCAACAATACGTAGAACTTTTCCGCTCTGTACATATTACAAGTTGAATTTGCAAAAATTGTTCATCATCGGTCCAAGTTTGGTGCCAGAATAATGCTTCTTCCCTTGCTTATTCAACATTGGTCAACGTAGACCCCCTACGCCAATGAAAGCATTCATTGGCAGCAAGGTTAAGTGGCATCTGTTTGTTGAATTTTTTAAATTGTGCTTTTAATTTGTGCATTAGTGGGATCATAACTTTCTACTACAGATTTCATTTTTCTTAGAGTTTATAATGATCCTCGACTTCTGTTTTTATTTCTTAATTCATAGGTTCTACTATATGGAATTTGTTTTTTCCCCCCACGAGAAACCCCTTTCATGGGTTTCTTTGTCCTCTGACACAAAACCGCAGTGTTTCTTCTAGGCCTGCTTTGTCATGATCACTTGGGGACTCCTCTCCTGTGCTGGGTTCCCTTTCTCTGAATCCCACATCTTCTGTTTCTTGTATCTTTCCTTCTGTTTCTTGGCTAAAGTCACAATGTCAACTAACTTCTTAAAGAAGCATCTTTAAAAGGTAAACATTACCCTTTCTTGCTGTCCAAAAATATCTTCATTCTGTTCTCACTCCTGATTGATATGTTAGCTCAGAACATTTCTTTTCTTGTAATATTCAGTTGCTCATGAGAGGTCTGATATCAATCTGATCCTTTTTCCTTTACATGTGACTTGTTTTTTCTTTCCAAAAGATTTTATGGACATTTCTTTATGCTTGATGCACCATAATTTAATCGGAAAATTATATATTGTGTTCAGAGAGCTTTTTTTTAACTATATATTTTTTACCCTTCCATGAAACGTCGATGTTTTCGTCACTTGCAGATATTTAGTTTATATGTGGATGCTAAGATTAGTTTAAAATTTTAATGCATAAAGAAAAAAATCTTTGGAAACATAGGAACAAAACAAACCAAAAAAACTAAATATGTTAAAAAGACTTGTGCGTGAAAGGAGGGAATAATTTTGCATGATTTTTTTCTATATAACAGTTTTTGGTCGTAAAAATATTACAAACTTCATTTTTAGAGTGTGATAATGAAGAAGAATCATAAATGTATCAATCTGAGAACAAAGATTTATCTAAACCAACATATAGCGGTTAGCTCAGACGAAGGCCAGTGTCCTGCACCATAAATGAAAATTCGTGTTGCTAATATTGACCTAAAGATCCTCAGACATCAAAGAAAGATGGAGCTATGTTTACCACAGGGGACTTTGCTAAGGGCATTGTCTAAGGATTATTCAAAAAGTGTCGAAATAAGGATGACTTTCTGACCAACCTACAATTAACCATAACATCAGTTTCTTCCAGTTGCTCCAGTTCTTTAAAATTCTGTGTAATTATGAGGGCCTCACGCTCACCTCCCTCGGATTCTTTGCCAGCGCGTGATTCTATATATGAAACCACCGAAATACCATCCGGTGATACAAAGCTGAAGAAGAAAACCCAACTTCTCTCTATACTTTCAATAGCACCATGAGGTCTGGCTCTTTGCAAATCTGGTGGGAGATGTCCGAGTGCCCTGAGCACAGCGAGTTACTGTCACCCAAGAAGGTGACATTAATTCACTGTTCCCAAAGCACCAGCGATGTTCTCGAATATCTCTGTTCCCATCAAAATTCTAGTGTGAGAGCAGCACTTTCCAAGACGTGACAGAGGACATGAGAGAAGAAAACAAGATCTCTCTGGGAAAGGTCACAGCTCAGAAGGAGAGACAAGATAGAAACACAGCCAACCATAAAAAAAAAACATGTCAGTAAGTTGCATTAGGACCGTCACACGGGATGAACCGTGGGGGAAGGTAGAGTTGGAAGGTTTGAGGGAATCAGAAAATATAGTCAGGAATTTGAACCATATCCAGCTCTTTATGCAACTATAATAAAGGCCTCAGCTTGAGACTAAAAGAGATTCAGATGCATCTGGGGACATCTGGTAAAAGGGCCGTGTCAGCCTTTGTAAATCTATTTACATAAAGACTGAGCTGTCTCCTGGTAGAGAACTGGAGGGAGGAAGGGTACAAGCACGATGTAGTGACTCAGTAAAAAAGCCTTAGTCACTGGATGAGGAAGATGGCTCTGTACACAGCAAGTCTGAGATTAATCCCCAGCTGGGCTTAGTCTGACGATCATGAGAAGCAGGGCAGTTCAAAGTAAGTGCTGAAATCGTTGTTTTTGCTTGGTGACATAAACAACTCTGCTTTGGTGTCCCGTCTAGCAAAATTGAACAGAAAGGGAAAATCTCTCCCTACCCCTTTTCCAGAAGTCAACACACAGGGTTGGTGCCCAGCAGAGCCAGCGCTGTATCTGCGACCACCATGCCTCGCGAGAGCCTGCGGGTCCTCAGTCGGTGTCGGAGACGAGGCACCCAGCAGTGGAATAAGGGTGGCGTCTGACACAGGCTTTTATACCCAGCTCGGCACAGGAGACTGGTGAACCAGCAGGACCACAAGGGAAAACGCCAAGCCTGGCAGAGCAGGAAAGTGTCTATCGTGCCCAGGAGTAGAGCAGCGACAAGCTCAACTTAAGAGCTGCGGTGCCCGCTACCGCAAGACCTGGCTCATGTGTGGCCAGCTGAGACCACAGGCCAGGGCCTCCCGTGGAGGCAGAACTTCCACGGACCTGAGGACTATGTCAGCATAAGAAGGCCTGAGATCGTGACGCTTTAGCCTTTAATATTAGCATACATCACGGCTATCTACGGGAAGGAGAGGTCTGGAGAGATCTAGTCCATACTGTTAGTTATTTCTCATGTCTAGGAAACACTGCCTTTTGCTGTGATGTTCAAGGTTAGGTTGATGGTAAAGCCAAAATGGACATTAAGCGTGGACAAAAAATTAGCGTCTAAATGCCCCACGATGATCACCTATTTTATCGAAGCCTTAGAGAATCACAATCTTAAGATGTTACAGCGGTAGAAATCAAGTGGACCAGCCCTCTGAGGTTCAAATGCAGGAGGAAGTCCCAGGGGAAAGAAAGCCAGCCCCTGGCTGGTGGCGGAACCAGCCGGGAAGGAGAGGTCTGGAGAGATCTAGTCTGTACTGTTAGTTATTTCTCATGTCTAGGAAACGCTGCCTTTCGCTGTGATGTTCAAGGTTAGGTTGATGGTAAAGCCCAAATGGACATTAAGCGTGGACAAAAAATTAGCATCTAAATGCCCCACGATGATTACCTATTTTATCGAGGCCTTAGAGAATCACAATCTTAGGATGTTACAGTGGTAGAAATCAAGTGGACCAGCCCTCCGAGGTTCAAATGCAGGAGGAAGTCCCAGGGAAAAGAAAGCCAGCCCCTGGCTGGTGGCGGAACCAGCAGTAGAACAGAAACTGTCTAACTTCCAGTCCAGGATGGTTATGAGGACACCATACGAACGCGGGAAACCAAATAAGAAATAAGAAAACTGACTGTTTTGATTCCTAGAAAGTGTCAGCAAATCTCCTGCAGCCATTCTGCACAACCAAAAATCGAGCCGAGAATTTAAGAGCTGGCAAAATGCTCTCTCCTTCAACGCGAATGTGTTTTTATATATATATTTCTGTCAGTTCGGAAACGTAAATTCTGAACTGATTTCTGACATGACGCCTTAAAAGTTTGAAGCAGTGTTAGACTTAGCTTCAGAAGAGGAAAGGTTTACACAGTTTTCTGTTTTCTCTTAGGAATGGATGAAGAGAACACGGTGGGACACGAAGAGACAGAGTCCGAACGGAAACGAGAACAAGGAGGACTGAAAATAAACGAGTACGTAAACAGAGGAGAAATAAACGAGTACGTAAACAGAGTAGGAAGTTTGGAGCCTCCCCGTGAACGACAAGGGTAGTGGAACTCTCCTAGGAGCATGTCAGACCTGAAGTCCATCTGCTTTGACTGGTGTGATTTACTTGACATAAGTGACAGACCGAAACGGAAATAATATTCATCTGTCAAACAATCACTTTGACTGTTTCTTGACCATCTTGGCTATTGTTTTCCTTTTTTAAACCTAACCTGCCTATTTCCTTGACCAGTCAAGTCAAAACAGACACCCAATTTGTACATGTCAACACAGGCTCTCTCTTGAGTTAATGGCTCAGTATCTGAGTCACCGCCCTGAGAAGCCCAGATTCTAACTTTTCTCTTCGTCTAAATTAGAATGGGATGGCCTCTGTTTATACTTTCATTAACTAGAACCACATGATTACAACCTTTCCACTGGGGGTTTTAGCAGAGAATTTATTAGCGTGAGCCAGTATCCTTGACTGCACGGCTGCCTTGGTAGTGAGCCACGGGTGGCTAAGATACGCTCCTCGTGAGTTCCAGTTTAGTGGGTCGCTTCTCGGGGTTCCTAGGGACTTGTGTCTAGAGTAAAGGCAGAAAGAAAGATATGAGTATTTCTCTTACTTGACCCACCTGTCTTTGTCACTCTTATCAGTGATTTTTTTTTTGAAGCCTGAAGGTTCTCTTTCACTTGTCCTGGGAAAAAAATAACAGAGTTCCGGAAAGCAGTAGTAGCTTATTAATGTGTGATCTTTTCCACCGTAGGATAATCAAACTAGAATTTTTTAAAGGTGTCTTCCTTTTATTTAGAAGGCCTTCTCCCCTTTAACTCTCCCGTACCCTTGGAGATACGGTTTCCATGACGACCTCCTGATTTTCCCCCACCCCACCCGAAAACCCATATAGTCTGGATCAACCGTCCCCTCCTCTGCATCCTTAGCACTTGACCTCTGCATTCCCTGTTGTGTGCCACGCTGCATCTACAGACGCGACAGGTCCTTGATGATAGGAACCGTGTTTTAACGTCGTCGCATTTCTAATAGAATAATGGATCATTTGTTAAATTAAATTGAACTGCAGAGAGCTGATGGGGAGGCATAGAGAAGAAGCAGGAGGAGAGTGACGTGAGGTTATTGAATGGAGTGCAGAGAGACAAAGAGGATGGGGCAAGATTATTCGGCATCATCATGGCAGAGGGTGCAGGGCAGTGGAGGTGCTGGCAGGATCACTTGAAAGAAGACAGAACAGGTAGTGGCCAGAAGTGAGTAACAAGCTGCAGCTGTAGTAAACACTGTAACTGCTACCCGAGATGGTATCTTTTTCCTTGTGGGAAGGGGAGGAAGGTCAGGAGAACAGGCAATGGCGATCACTCCACCCAGAATAACTCTTCTTCCCCCGCTTTCCAGGCAGCCTACCTCGTTCTCCAGCCTCAGTGATACCTGGTTTTATATCCAGTCCCTATGCAGAGGTTCAAGCCTGTACTAGGTACTGAGATGAAATTCCTTGAGTCTATTTCTTTTTAAAGATATAGATAAAACATAAATGTTCTTTGATTACAGAGATATACAGTTATCAAGTGTGCGTGGCCTAGTTTTTCATCCGCGTCTTTTGGAAAATATAGATAAATAGAAAGAACAGAGGGTGACAAGTCTTTTGACTTTCTCTTTCCC